TGGTACACTGGGGAAACTATTGACACTGGTGAAACTGGTAACACTGATACACTGCGGAAACTGGTGACACTTGTACACTGGTACACTGGTGAAACTGGCGACACTGGTGACACTAGCGGCACTGTCGACACTGGTGACACTGGCGACACTGGTGACACTGGTGAAACTGACGACACTGGCGACACTTGTGACACTGGTGACACTGGCGACACTGGTGACACTGGTGAAACTGACGACACTGGTGACACTGGCGACACTTGTGACACTGGTGACACTGGTACACTGGTGAAACTGGTGGCACTGGTGAAACTGGTGACGCTGGTACACTGGTGACACTGGCGACACTGGTGACACTGGTAACACTGGGGACACTGGCGACACTCGTGACACTGGTACACTGGTGACACTGGCAGAGCCGAAGACTCCCGACACTGGTACACTGGTGACACTGGTGACACTGGCGACACTGGTACACTGGTGACACTGGCAAAGTGCGAATAGACACTCCCTAAAAACATTGCGAATATTGTGAAACAATCACTGTACGAATAACTACTTTGACTATGTAGTACATTCAAATTTATTATGTATGTATGTATATATGTTTGTAAGTATATCTATTAAGTTTATTAATAGTTTTATAACACTGATAAATTCATGCATTTCAACATTTCACTTAATATTACTTCCAAAATTACTTGTACAAGTTCCCAGTAAAAATATTTGTCATTTAGAGGCGAGCGCCCGCTCGTGGGTGTCACCATAATATTGCTATAACTTTTGAACTACTTGTTGTCTAAACCTGCAGCTTTCCCAAAACTGTCCGTATATATTTGTCTTTAATGCTGCATTAAAAAAAACAAAAATTTTAAACTTCATAACACAACTTTTGCATTTGTAAAAACCACCTCCTTAATTTTTATAAAAATGTTAAAATATCCGCCATTTCATTTTAAATAAGTATTAAGAAGTGCAGTTAGACTCATCTTCTTCAGAATAGTAACTAGTTTATTGTGTACAAATTGCAAATCAATCGATACACAAACGTCTGAGATATAGCGAGTTTAATTGAAAACTTCGCAAAAATTTTCGGTAGTGAAAAATCCGGTTTTGTGGCTTTTTCGACATAAAGGCATGAGTAAAAATTTGGTTAACCCTTTCTCTGCATTTGGTTAATATATTGTACAAAAAAATATCTGCCATTCGTTGGCCTGAAAATGTTAAACTATTACAGCTTAAAAAAATGAGGCTTTGGAAACTATAACATTCTGTTTTCATTATTATGAAAATTTATGAACACAGGGTAAAGAACGGTGATTTTATATAAGTTTGAAAAAATGTCCACAGAGGAAAATATAAATTTCTTAAAGGACATGAACAAAATTGAATATTTTGAATAAGTAATGAAAACATTTCTCTATAATTATGTACCTAAAATAAAAGTCAACATTTCACTCTTCAATAACAAATAAATACACTTAAACAATTTTGCAATAAAAAAATTAATAAACGCTCCCAAAAAAAAGTGTGCAATATATTGTACAAATGCACGCAACTCTAATGTACAATATAGTGTACAAATTGAATTTGGTCAATATCTTGCACAAATGACACGAAAGGTTGTTAAATTACACTCAGCATAGAAGTGGCCGTTGAAGCAAAACCAACATGTTAGACTCTGCTGCTTGCACGAAATTTGAAATTTGGAGAAGTATTTATAAGAATATTGGAGTAGCTTGTTTTTCATAGAAATATTTTGTACACGCGTAGCACATTAGTTCACATATTGTAATTGTGAGTCAGTCAGAGTATTTTCATTTATAACTTAAAAAGCTCCTATAATATGAGTTCGTGTAAAAAGGGTTTATCTGAGCGAAATAGTTGATATACTGGATAAGATAGATTCAAATTTATCTGATTTAGAGGAGGAAAATGATAGTTTCGACGAAGATGCAAACGATGCTGAAACTCATGTGTTAGCCGAAATAAATATCGATCCTGAGGACGACATTCTTATAGATTCTTCTATAAGGCGCAAATTTAACAAAGAAAACGTTCTTGAGTCAAGCTTTTCCGATTTCCGGGAAGAGGTTTTCGAAGCGATCGAATCGGAAGATGAAGGTGAGGTGAAAATTCAAGCAATGCTCAATTCGTTGTTACAGACAAGAAGATGATCACATGGAGGAAACTAAACTATGAGCCAAGCCCATTTTCTTTCGAGTCAAGTTCTTTTCAAGGAAGCGAAAATTCTGAGAACCCATTTTACTACTTTAAACAGTTTTTTACTCCCGAAGTATTCGAAAAGGCAACATTTTATACAAATTTGTATGCTACGCAGAGAAACGTTACAGGATATAAAAATGCCACAAAGGAGGAAATCGAAATTCTAATAGGTCTGCAAATTGCTATGGGAAGTATGCAATTACGGAGAATGTCAATGTTTTGGGATCCGACTTTAGGTGTTACACTTTTTAAAGATTCAATGACAATGAGACGATTTGCACAGTTGCGTACGCTATTACATTTCACCGATAATTTGAAAATACCCAAGGAATGTGGTGACAAATTTGTGAAAATACGTCCGTTAATAGATGCTATTAGGAATCGATGCCTTGAAGAGCCGGTTGAACAAGATGTGTGCATTGACGAACAAATAATACCTTTCAAAGGAAGACTTTCTTGTAAAGTTTATCACAAAGGGAAGCCAAACCCATGGGGCATAAAGAATTACGTTCTTTGCGGTAAATCGGGCTTTCCTTATGACTTTGAGTTATATCAAGGAAAACAAACTTGTTTAGACCCGCAAGTTTTAACAAAATATGGATTCTCGACCGCAATTGTCCTACATCTATGTAAAAGACTAGTCAACAGTGGACATAATCTTTATTTCGACAACTTTTTCAATTCATACAACCTGCTTGAAATTCTTACACATTTGAAAATTAATGCAACTGGGACAGCACGCATAAATAGGTTCGGGAGACCTACGCTGGGCTCAGACAAAGAACTGCAAAAAAAGGGCGTGGCGCATACGAATGTTTAGTGAGCAACGATCGTAAAATATGTCTCGTAAAGTGGCAAGATAGCAGACCAATACATATTGCTTCAAATTTCGTTGGAACAGGAGAAGAAGATATTGTTAAAAGATACTGCAAGCAATCAAAGAAAATGATAGAAGTAAAAAGGCCAGAAATAGTGCGGAGATATAATGCATCGATGGGCGGCGTTGACTTGTTGGATCAGCTAATAAGTTATTATAGAATATTTCTGAAGTCAACTAAATGGACACTGAGGATGGTATCTCATTTCACTGACTTCGCTTTGGTAGCTTCTTGGCTGTTATATCGAAAAGACTCCGCTATTCAAAATGTTCCGAAAAAACTCATAATGGACTTGTTACATTTTCGAATGGCAGTCGCAACACCTTGTGATGTTCTCCAAAAATAGCGAAATGCGGAAGCGAGGAAGACCACGGCAAAATCTCGAAATAAATCTTGAACCATCGACCAGCAATAAAAAGTATGAGGCACGACCAGATAAGGAAATTATTGAAGACAAAGTGGAACACGTCCCAGCACATGACGGCTTTACATATCCTACGAGATGTAAATATCCTGGTTGTACAGCGCGTACTTACTTTATTTGCCTAAAATGTAAAGTGCACTTATGTATTTCACCGAAAAAACATGTTTCCAAACTTTCCATAAATATTCTAGTAACTAAACATATTTTATAATTATATACATATGTATGTATGTTTGCATGTACTATATTTTCTTATTTAACTGAATTGAATATGTATTTATTTTGTCGTTTGTTAATATTGTAAGGCATATTTTATTTAATTTTTGGCTGCAATTTGAATTGAAAGGATATTTTAATTTTTTTTGTATTCTATTTGCTTTCATAAAAGTTATAACAGTATTTCTTTAAGTAATATTCGTAAATATAATAAAAAATATTCTAAATAAATGCCTGAATTTCAATGTAAACTGTGTTAATTTTTGAAGTAAATAAAAATAGAATAAAAAATTTCTTGAATTTTTTACTCCTTTCATTGAAATTGGTTAATATATTGACCAAATTTTCCAAGGGATTGTAGCCTCTCTAAAACCGGTTTTTCATTTTTTGTTTGTTTTTTTTTATGTCTATTCAAGACGAAATCTCTGAGTTGAGTTCAAAAAAAAATTTTTTTGTTCACTACTTCAAAAAATGTTGGGAAAGGGTTAAAATTAACTGTAAATGTATTTTTGAATAAGCTATCGATTACAACTGGTTTGAAATCGCTTCACTTCACTTCAATCCTATGTTTTGTTACGCTGCTTGTTGTTTCCGCTGCTTGTTGCCTTCGCTGTTGTTGTCGCCCAATTTTGCGAGAAAAGAATAACGGACCTGTGCATTGCGCAACCTCTTATATATAAACCTTGTAGATCTTGGTTGAAACAGCTGATAAGGTGACCAATTGCGTATTTTTTCGATTGCTGTGTGTTGAATGTTCATGAAGTTAGCCTGAGAAGCAGTAAAAAGATGTCTGGTAAGCTTACGTGTACAAATGTGTATGTCTCATTTCGTAGAAAAATGGAACGCGATGAAGATATTACAGCCAATTTCACCAACCTATTTAAGTGGAAATTAACTTTAATTTAATTTTGTATTTAATTCTCATTTAAACAATTTTCAGTTTCAATAAACTATTTATTTAAGTGAGTAAAAAGTGCTTGTAAAACAGACTAGGCCAGGGAAAGCTTTCATTTGTACTGAGAGCTTTTGAAAGCTTTGGAACGCGGTGTTGTAAAAGCAGGGCTGGTATACAAGTAAGCAGCAGATACACATTGATCAGGTGATTAAACGTGTAACACCTCTGAGTGTAGTTATTCTGATTTAGTTTTTATTTAAGGGAAGAGCATAGGTCACTTAAATCAAAATTAAAATTGATTGGCGACACCAAAAACTCGAAAATTAAAGTAATTTTCACTTAAATAAATTTGGTGAAACTGGACGTATATTAAGCTAGCAGACCATGGTCACGACGCGCAACTCTAACCTGTTGGGTATTTAGTTGCTTATTAGTTACTAATTAGTTACACTATTCCCGATTTAGTTGCTCATTACGTTTAAAAGATACGTGTGATCTGCTAGGTTAAGTCTTAAGCTAGCAGACCATTGCTATATCTTCGGTTCACGATAAGATATCAGAGTTCTGCAAACGGCATATTTAGTTGCTTATTAGTTGCTAATTAGGTACACTATTCCCGATTTAGTTGCTCATTACGTTTAAAAGATACGTGTGATCTGCTAAGTTAAGTCTTAAGCTAGCAGACCATTGCTACATCTTCGGTTCACGATAAGATATCAGAGTTCTGCAAACGGCATATTTAGTTGCTTATTAGTTGCTCATTAGTTACACTATTTCCGATTTAGTTGCTCATTATGTTTAAAAGATACGTGTGATCTGCTAGGTTAAGTCTTAAGCTAGCAGACCATTGCTTTATCTTCGGTTCGCGATAAGATATCAGAGTTCTGCAAACGGCATATTTAGTTGCTTATTAATTGCTAATTAGGTACACTATTCCCGATTTAGTTGCTCATTACGTTTAAAAGATACGTGTGATCTGCTAGGTTAAGTCTTAAGCTAGCAAACCATTGCTACATCTTCGGTTCACGATAAGATATCAGAGTTCTGCAAACGGCATATTTAGTTGCTTATTAGTTGCTCATTAGTTACACTATTTCCGATTTAGTTGCTCATTACGTTTAAAAGATACGTGTGATCTGCTAGGTTAAGTCTTAAGCTAGCACACCATTGCTTTATCTTCGGTTCGCGATAAGATATCAGAGTTCTGCAAACGGCATATTTAGTTGCTTATTAATTGCTAATTAGTTACACAATTTCCGATTTAGTTGCTCATTACGTTTAACAGATACGTGTGATCTGATAGGTTAAGTCTTAAGCTAGCAGACCATTGCTACATCTTCGGTTCACGATAAGATATCAGAGTTCTGCAAATGGCATATTTAGTTGCTTATTAGTTGCTCATTAGTTACACTATTTCCGATTTTGTGGCTCATTACGTGCAAATCATACGTGTGTGTGTGAAATTTTTTTTATAAAGCTTTTAATTTTACCATTATTCTTCTAAAAATGAGCCCTTAATCTTTATTATTAGTAGGAAATGTACTTTTAGTTTCAAGACTCAAGTTTTAGACACAGCCACTTTAGTTTTAGACTCAATCAATGGCAACAAGGCTTGTTTCTGCATGAAAACTCGAATTTGGACGAAAAAAAATAAATATTAAGCCGGCTGATTGTCATAGCGCGCAAAAAGATAGGAGTTGGCCATCTTTTCGCTTCGCGCTGCATTTTTATACAATTCATCTTATCTGTCAAAGCGAATCTGTCACCTGAAGCGCAGCAAAAGTTTTATGTGGCATCTAAGTCAAACTTTATACAAAACTTAGAAAAATTCAACAAATTTTCGTCTATATTTTGAACTTTTTAATCTGAGGTTTTAGAATGATAGATCGGTAGAAAAGCAAGTGCAGGTTTTAAGCGGCTAAAAAATCGCGTCGATTTTTAATGATTTTTTTATTGCGGACAGCTTGTACTTTTTACAATATACATAAAAGCGAATTTTTTATAGAATAAAATGCGCAAGGCCGTTTGCAAAGAAAATAAAAAAAACACAATATTTCAAATAGAAATTGCTCAAAATTCGGAAAAACTGCGCCTCTTGATTGAAATTGATAGGCCCATGAAAATTGTGGGGTACCGAATGCTCAACAAATTTGTTTACATTTTTTCGCGATAAATGCAAAATTCGCGCGTAAATCGTAAAAATCACAAAATCCCATACGGCGGGCATTTCCCATATCGCAATTGGGGGAAATATTTTCATTTTGTGTTCACCTAAACAGGAGACACCTAACTGCGTCAAAAAATTTCTTCCCGGAATTTTTTTTAATCTTACGTCGATTTTGGTCTAAAGTCATTGTGCTATTAATGAAATTAATTTTACAAATACATTTGAACTATATAATATTAAGTTTATTAATTAATATCGTTATTTTGATAACAAGCCATAATTTGTTAGACACACATACGTACATACACAGGCAATAAAAAGTGATTGCATGGTTCTTTTTTGTTTAATATTTACAATGTTTTTCAAGTAAATATTTTTTTGTTTTTTTTTATAAAAATATTTTTCATGCTTTAATCGAAACCACATAAGTCAAACTTTCAAAATTTATAAAGAACGTAGAAAAATTCAACAAATTTTCATCTAAATTTTCTACTTTTTAATCTAAATTTTTAGAAAGTTTTGGGTACGCAGATAGATTTGTTATGTATGTAATTCTAGTGAAACAAGTGAATGTTTTAAGCAGATAAAAAATCGCTTTAATTTTTAATGAAATTTTTTCCGACGTATTTTGCGGTTTTATGCATATAACATGTGTAATTTATAAAACATAGTGTTTATTTTGTGTTTTTTTTATTTTGTTTGCAAACGGTCTTGCGCATTTTATTCTACAAGAAATTCGCTTTTATGTATATGGTAAAAAGGGTGGGGTGCAATAAGGCCATACGCAATAAAGCCATATTGGAAATAAAGCCATATTTTTTTGGTAATAAGGCCATAAATTCGATATGGCTTTATTGCCAATTACAATTGGTAATTAAGCCATATGGCTTTATTTCGCTTTCAAATTTTTATGTTTCTTTTATTTGAACAATGGAAAAAGTTCGCAACAAAACTACTAAACCGCCTTGAACTACAACGTCCCCTTAAACATGCAATTACTCTCCTTCGCGTCCAGCCGCGCCGCGCTCCGCCGTTCACGCTCCGCGCGCGCTGCGCCGGCCCCCGCGCTCCGCCCTTCACACGCGGCGCGGTGCGGGGAGCCAGCAAATGTGCACCCGCCAGGTTATGCACTCGCAAAATTAAAACTTACCTAAGTACATATATTTCTTTTTCAATATCCAATAAATCCGTAAATATTAAATAATTATTTATTTCATTTTATTAGTAATAATTTGTATAA